GAAATTAAGGACGCAACATTGATCGCACCATACCGAGTATCACATAGGAGTAAATACAATGACCAAACTAAAACAAACAATCAAACATTCAAAAAGCATAGATGTCAAAACAATCTCAGATTCAAATAGGGATTAAGCAAAAGTGAATCCGATTGTTGCTAGTCAAAATTACCAAGAGTAACAGCATTGACGGCGTCATTAAGTCACAAAACAAAGATAACTGCTCTGTAATTATAAGCACTAACCATTACCGGGTTAAACTACCATGACCCAAATAGATGAAATAGTTATGCAGTAATAGTGATTAGATGAGATCCGACGGCTTTCAAGCCTCAACAGTCTCTACGGACTTCTTAGCGGGGGAGCAGATGAACCAAAGGTTGCCGTATGGGTCCTTCACCTTGCCAACGCGACCACCGCAGCAAGTGGCCTCACCCTCAGAGATTTCACCTTCAGCAACAGCGCCGGCGGAAACAGCATTAGCAACCGCAGTGTCCACGTCCTCAGTCTCCAAGGCAAAAACGGCAGCAGTAGCATCAGCCTTGGCCCTGTTGAAATAACATCAATAGCATTTGTCAGTTCCCAAATGGTTATTTAACACACAGATATCAAAACGAAAAATCGCCTTGAATGTAGAACAACATCAGTCATTTCTCCTTACTTGGTACTGCGTATTAAACTAGCAGAGCATCATTATAATCTGGAGGAAGATGGGCAAAATGGATACGACATTCAAACCTTGTTTATACTCGAAAGACCTTCGCGACACATGATTGAGTAAATGTTCTTATTAAAAACTCTACGAGCATCAGAAACTAATTTGGTGTGTTATATGTTTATTCGCTTACATGACAGATTAATATGCATGTGTTGCAACAACTGTATTTGAAGGCAGATTGAGGGAAAAAATGAGTAAGACACATTATAAACGATAAATCGGCTTCAAAATACACAGATCTACAAATATATTTCATGGATTAAGTGAGAAAAGAAACACAAATTCACAGAGGAGGTACATAAGAACTTACGGTGCAGAGGAGTCCTCGGTTAGGTCAGAAACGAGAAAAACAGTGGAACCGAGCTTCAGCTCAGCGTAGAGAATGAGAGGAACTTCCTGCTCGGCCTTCCTCTTCGTGTTCATCACACGACTGACCTCCTCGGCACCAAACGCGGTCTTGTAGAACTGCACGGCGTCGTTTGCCTTGGCACCTTCCACGAACAGCTGCGGCTTGAGAGCGGAGAAGGTGACAGCCTTAGCGGCTCCGTTCTTCGCACCGCCGTTCTGAGCTTCCTCCGCCATCTCTGTCTAGCTGCTAAAAACAAATTACAGAAATAGAGGAAGAGAAGGAAAGTTTGGATGTGGCTAAAAAGAGATAAAGCAAACTGGGATGAAATGGGGCACAAAACGGAGGTACTTATAGGGAGAGACGACGGAGCGAACCGTTTGTGCATCACAGGGGCAATCTGGGAATTACGGTTGTCTTACTCGCATCGTTCGCCCTCACTTGCGGCATTTATTTTCTAGATTGCCATTCCATTTGAAAGTTTATTGTCTTCCCTTCAGGACCCATTTTGGTCATTTCCAAAGGCACTCAGAGGAGAGGCCGTCACGTGTCATTAATGTTAAGCAACACGTCAGGAGCAGAATCGGCGTGAGTGGTAATTTAGTTGGGAAATGTAAGGGCACCACTTTTAATGGAATGACGAAAATGTCCTGAGGTTTGAATCCTAGCGGATAAGGTCTAAATTTTGATGGGCTCGGAGGCTTGGCCCAATTGAAAAGCCAACTTTTATAGGATTGGCAAAGCAGGAAATATCCATGTAGGTGACTTGTCAATGAAAGGGCTTTTCTATTGTATAACAAAACAACACTATTGGAGCACATTGTATCAATAATCTAAATTAGAAATTTTGAATATCGAATCAAAACATAGAAGGTGTTTGGATTTGCTTTTTAAAAGTATATGTAAATTTTTAGTATTGTACGAAGTACTCCTTATATTAGAGTAGCATTGGAACAACAAACTGTAGTACACCCAGATTCAATTGATCGTTGATACAATGACGTTGTGTGAGTGAGTCCTTATATCCTTCTATCGGTGCAACAACCCGAGAGAGGATTAGAGTAGCATTGGAAGTGAATCCTTAGTAAAATTCTGAGTCCTTTGGTGATAGAAGACAGTTCATAAAAGGTTTACATGTATTAGGCCTCCAGATTGCCTCTTAAAACAAAATATTTCGATAAATGCGGCCCATACGAGAGTTAGAAATTATTAGTAACACTTATCAGGTTGACATTTTGTAGTTACTAGTGAGAGGTTGAGCTACCGAAATAAAAATACTATTACTATTATTTAAAAACGAGACAGAACGGGACATATACTTTATCTGTTCCGGTCACATTCTATTTTGTAATGGTTCGGGAATAGTCTTTTGTTTACCCCTGGTCTGGTCACATTCTAGTTACTTTTAGACTACAATTTTTCCCATGAAAGAAAGTGGGCGGTAATTATATTGTAAGTTTGAAATTGTTAAAAAAAATGATGGGATGGAATATCCGGTAATTGTTGAGATACATAAAATAACTCGTGTTTAACCCGAGTGTTGCCCCGCGTTGGCGATTGCACTATTAAACGTATGATGTTATATTTTATAATTACGTATGTCTCTTCTGATCTTGTGAATCTGGAAAGTCATAAAGCAGTAAATGCAGTATTTCACAATATCGATTAAGCTAATCTAACAGTTCATACATTTATAATATTTGAATTTCGAATCATATTATCATAACATGTTCCATCACGTTAACAATCACTTTGACTGTGTTTGTCGCTTCACTTTGAATAAATATTGTATCAGTACTGATTTAGTTGGTCTAATGGTTCATACATTTATGATAATATTTGAAAGTCGAATCGTAACGTGTTTCATCACGTTAAAAATCACTTTGACTGTGTTTGTCGATTCAGTTTGATGACTTTGAACTAATTCATTTCGCATCAGAACATGTTTCATCACGTTAAAAATCACTTTGACTGTGTTTGTCCTTTTAGTTTAAAGACGTTGATCTAATTCACTTTGATCTATTTATGTATGATCTAGTTGTTTCTAAAAATAACAAATTTAAAAATGATCATTAATATATTAAAATACTCTAAAATTTTAAAAGTTGAGCCCAACAGCCTCTACTTATGTGCCTCGATTCCTCAAATGAATATCATTAGTTTTATCTTTCATATGATATGATTTAATCACCACAGAGACCAATTATTTATTGAGAAATTTTTCAAAAAAGGAGGGGAAACGTTTTGGAATTCCAAAATACTATAGTTATATTTGTATTCTCTAAATATGAGTAATTAATGTCTTGTTTGGAAATATTGCGAAGTTTAAAGTCAGATAACGCCAAAACATAACAAGATTTGCTCTATTTTAGGGAGTTCAAAATATGACACTCATATTTTGTGATTCATATACATTTTTACCTCTATTTAGGGAATTTTATTTTATTTGTTTAGTATGAAATTCAGAATGATGACTAAAAACCTTCAAAATTCGGAGACATTTAGTGACCGTTTGACAATCTCTTTTTATTTACAACATCTCTTGGCTATATGAAATTCCCCTTTAATTCATTATATATTTTGGATCTAAAACATGTCTGTTACTTTGTTTTATATTTTTATGTGTAGAATACTTGCACATTAAAACTAATATACACTTCCAGTAGCAAAGCAAAAAATTGAGTACTCCTATTTCATATCAAACTTCATTTTACAATGTTGTTATATAAATGATGAAAAATTAATTTTCCCAAAGTAACAAATAAATTCATGGGGAAAAATTTTGGGAAAAGATTAAGAGCCCGTTTGGTAACACCCAAATCGGCTGATCCTGCTGAAATTTATGAAATTCTGACTTAAGTGGTTGTATTGGCGGATTCTGCAAATTTATGAAAAATTTAAATTTAAAATATATTTTATTAATAAAATAAAGAAAAAATTACATGTAAAAATAGCCAAACTGACCCTCTACAGTAACTTCAGTCGAAAATAACCAGAAAAGTAACCTCAACCATACTTTTTCTTATTATTACACATTTCAGCATGTGAAATCAAAAGTTACGTGTTTGATAAAAAAGTTGGTTGATAAGCCTGATAAGTTGAATAACAATGTTACTAAACGGGCTCTAAAATTTTCTAGATTTAAGGTTAATACAATGAGATATAGATCAGACACGTTTGGCTTATCGGACTCATTGATCATTTTTTTTTTTTTTTTCAATTCAATCGCTTCAACCAGATTTTCACTAATTTCAACTGGTTCCCCGACTCATTCGGGGGTTATGGGTATATGATCTTTAACGTTCACTAAAATCCAAATATAATTTGAAACTAATAATTACATTTTGACCATTGCGCATGAAGTAATATGGCTACTAAGCTAAAAATAATATGACATCATTAAAATTTGGTTTTCGGGAATATAAATAATTTTAAGATTTTCAATTAGTAAAAAAATAATTTTAACTGAAAAATGAATTTTATTAATATTGTAACGATATTATTTACATTTGCCGAATGAGGGTATTTCTGAACATTTGGCAATATTCAAATCAAAGGTTTGAGAAAGAGTAATATATATGTACTCTGTATGATATTTAATATTATGTATGTAGAACGCCCTGTTAATGAGACATGATTTTTAATCTAGATGATTATAATCTAGTTAATATAATTATATGAGGTCTGAATTATTTTTAAAATTAATTATGTTTAATCATGATGATGATCTTAATACTAAAAAATTTATCATTAGCATTGTCTGTATTTTATTTCGGATATTAATAAGTTAAAACTTATGTGCATAATTAAAAATTGTCATTTGAAGTTATTGGACTTAACAACAAATAAGTACAAATAAATTTCATTTAGTCTGCTCTATTTAATACTATGGTGAGTAAACACCTCTAAAATCTTAAGATATTCAGTTGTTTTTAGTGATCCTTTTTATATATCAAAATTTCTCTTTAATATGTAAAATTTAAATTATTTGGACATACTTTTGAATTATGAAATATTTATTTTATGTCAAGAGTTCTTAGTTATCTTTATTGATATAACATTTTAGTAATGCCATTTTAGTAATGGAGTAAAAAATTGCTACTTAAGTCAGATCTGATATTGAACTCCATTTTTTCGATTATGATATTCAATTGATAATACAGTTAAAAAAAATATTCAAAGTTACAAATAAATTATTTACAAGAAAAATATGTTTGATAATTTTGTAGGTTAATAGTAAATAAGATGAATATATTGTCAAGAAAGAAAATGAAATGCATATTTACCTAGCTATTATGAAATTGAGCTCGAGTTAAGCTCGATATACTTTCGGTGTTTGATTTTAACGCTTGATAAACATGCTCGAACATAGAAGTTCAGATTATACTCATTAATAGATTCATGTTCGAATTATTCAATAAAAACTCAAATCTTTAATACACATTAATAAATTTATATAATTTTTCTAAAAACGTTTAAATTTTATGATATCTATAATTTATTCCTATAATTTACTCTGTATAAGTAAACGACAAGCTCAAGTTCGGATTGAACCAAACATCACTACATTCGAACTACGCTTGAATAACTATTCTAACTCAAAACCTAGTCTGTGTTCGAGTTCGAAGCTTGTTAAGCTCAAGTCATTAATCGAAATCAAGCTCAAACTCGAGTATAAAAATCGAAAAAAGCTTGATTGGATAACAGCCCTGAAACAAACCTTGTATGTATAGAATGAGATTATTCCACTTTATTAGTAATATAGTACTTGTAGACATTATTTGATTTCACTTATTGGACGGGAATATTGTTGAATGTTTGAAATTATTCAAACCTAAAAAAAGAGTAGTATGTATTTTTTGGTTTTCATTTTAATGATTATGAATTAGATTTGATAGATATTTGATGATATAAAGAATCCTACTTGTAGCAATGGTATGGAATTTATATTTAAGTGATAGTTATTTAATTCACATATGTGAAATATTATGTCTAATGAATATTATGTATGCTCTAAAAATATAAGATGTGCATTTTTTTCCCGAATTATGAGAATCCGGATCATACGTTCCCGTTTAAAATTGGTAATGTTTAATCTAGATGATGAGGAACTAAAAATTAATAATTTATCATTATCATTAATAGTGTTTTATTAAGCTAATTAAAAAGTTAGAACTTGTGGTCATAATTTGAAAATTTCAACGATTGAACTCAATAGTAATTTAAGTACAAATCAATTTCAATTTAGATATACTCAACTTTATTAGTAATAAAGTAGAAGGTACTTTGAATAAATTTGATAATTTGTATTTTGGTAGTATATAACTTGGG